GGACGTGACCCGTCGAGTGGATGAGTTGGCGACGTTCGTAGGGGGAGAAAAGGTGATGTGGGCATGTTTGTTTCGCACGGCGAAAAGGGGTCCAGTCGACAAGTGTGTGTGGCAGCTCGTGACTTGTTTGGTGTGTCGAGACGGGCGTGCGGGTGCTCAGGAGATGTTTGATCGATTGATAAACCAGTGATGAACTTCCGGCGCGGCTATAATCAATTTTGTTTTGTTGTATGTTTTTTGTATTTAACTTGTCTTCTAAGATCGAAACCTTGTAAAGATCAATCAATGCAAGTGATAGTTCGGCTGATTAACAACAGAAAATTACATTAAAAAAATCTACTAATGAACATTATTAATAAACCGAATCAAGCTCACGGTCATCCGATAGCTTACGATCATCCGATAACTCCATAGCAAAACTGTCTAAACAAAGTGCACCCATTCTCAGAAAGATACATACATATATAATAAGCACATTTTCAAAGCTACTTTCCAAAAGCAAGAACAATAAATAATCAAAATTCTAACAAGATATGGGATACACTACACTATACACATAAACTATCCTCCTCCAATACTAATACTAAGTCAAACTATTAACAAAATCTGGGAGCCTCCCCCCAAAAGCACAAAATGCAATAATGATACAACCCATCAACTAATTCCCATACCTTTTACCTTCTTCCTTTTTTCCCCTTCTAAAGGACAAACACAAAAAACATAACACCAACACAAAGTTCTTTCATATCCAGGCCATGGCAATCAAATTCAAACCTACTTTTAAGAAGGAAAAAAAAAAAAAAAATCAAAGCCAACATGATTATCAGTATAAATACACCTGGCATTGAATCACCGTCTTACCGACTGTAAAACCGGGGACCACCGTGAAAGCCACCCGTGGATAGCTTCCCGAGCCGACACCCGATAGAGAAAAGGCATCGTCGCTCAAACTGTCCATGTAAACCTCCGAGAATCGACTTCCTTTCGCCACCTGAAAAATCTCCACCCGAGCCTCCATGCACGAGCCCAGACACCTCAAGAGCCACACGCGTTTCGCCATCTCACAGAACGCCGAATAAAAACCCGTCTCGGGCAGCACGACCTGGCCGGACCCCACCACCAAATTATCCCTCTGCTCCAAATTGCCGAAAAGGGAAAACTCCATCTTCGGGTGCACGAGCTTCAAATACTTCTCGCGGCAAAACAAAGCAAACGGCGATTCGGGCTTCCTTGCCAAGTAATCCGTGGGATCCACCGAACGCATCTCCCGGAAAGCAGCAAACGATTCGCGGCGAATGTCTCTTTTCTCCGAGGAGGGCCCATGCTGGAGGAGATCGGGCGGGCCGAACACATGGAACATATGCCTGCAGATAAACGACTCGAATGCAAAGCACTTATGGGCCTGATTCCAGAAGGAGATACCTGGCTCGATCGAGCTAGCGGCCGCATCAAGATCCCACCTTGCGGACTCCATCTCACGCACAAGCAGCCGAACAAAGGCCCGTACGGATTTCAGCACCTCCCGATGGTACGTGGCGAAATGGCTCGTTTTCAGATCCGATAACCGGAGGCCGCCGGGCATGGAAAATTGCATGCTCGAATTTAAATTCCTCTCCAGCAATTTGGTTTCACTTTCGGCCTCGGCTAATTTCTCCTGAAGGAAAGTGATCTCCGAGTCCTTGAGCTTGAGCTGAAAATCCAGCTTCTTGCTCGTGACCTCGTAAGTCTTGAGAAGGCTCTTCTGTTCTTGAATCTCGGCTAAGGCGAGAGCTTTCTCGGGCGAGCTCTCGTTTATCTGATTTTTTAAGTAGTGTTGTTTTAATTCGGACAGATTTTTCAGCTCGGACACTATCGTTTGATCCGAGGTTTGAATCCCTTCAGCATCATAAGGGGATTGCGCGGACTGCATTTGGGCATAAGCAGCTTTAATAGACGACAGGCTGGCGAAAAGCTTCGCGAGAAAAGCTTCATTAATTAAATGGTCTTTTAACTTCTCGTTTTCTGCATCGAGTGAGGGAGTCTTGGCGTGTTTGGTTTGATGATCCCTATTCGTCTTTCCTCGAGATTTTCCCTTTTGGATACAGTCGTCACCTGTGGCAGCTTGAAAGCTGAGGACTTTTGCAAAAGTTCGAGCCAGACGGCTCTTAGTTGGGGTGACTGATGACCGTTTAACTGAATCCATCTGAACCAAAAAAAACCGATACACATTTCATGAAAGAATATCAAAATTAAGAATATTGAAAATGATGATTAAGGGTAATGCAAGAGAATGAAATATTATACCCCATCTGATTCAAAAAGGAAAGGTGATTGAAAAGAGATGCATATTCTACTCTTTCTTTATGAAAAAGAAAATAAAACACTTTGATTATTAATGCCGACGCCATTAAAGGCGTAAACAGACAACTTTTAAGAAAAGGAGACGCTAATGGAAGAGATAAAAGACAAATAGGAAAAGCGAGGCATGAACAGAAGACCAATTAACACAGCTTTTAGTTCTAAAAGCTCTGCAAATGCTTAAAAAAATAATGCATTTCAGAATGGATGCATTTCAGAATGGATGCAACGGTTGAGTAAACAAGTTGTTATAAAAAAAGTAGGTTGATAAAAATTATATTGGCTATTATACTAATATTCCACAATGTGATCTTTGACTTTAAAATGATACAACTTCATATGCTACCTAATTTTTCATGCATTTAAAGAAAATGATCAGCAGTATGATTGCCCCCCAAACAAAGTATTCGAATTGATCTCATAGTGTTTCAGAAAGAGCCTAGATAAGTAGATATAGCAATATCTGAATTAAAAAATGTTTGATTGAATCGAATTAAATGTAACACGAGTGACAATTGTATGGAATTATAATCGAATGTATAACCACCAGCAAGCAGAAATGCTATGCATAATGACAGAGGAGACAAATTAACGGATAAATAATTAAGACACTAAGGTATACTAGCAAAATTGTATAAGTTCAGTGTTCATAACAACCCGCAATGTGAAGGTAGTTGGAAATAACCTTAAAGCCAATCGTTAGATAATTAATTTGTCAAAACAAGTCATCAAAATTGGGTGGTGAATATATTAAACGTAGCTAACCACACAACATCAGCTACAAATTCTATGCTTACCGGAAAAAAAAAATCAGAAAATTCAATCAACACATGAAAGCAGCCAAAGGTTTAGCCAAACACGAGTAAGACCAAAAGTGATTAAGAGAAGTAAATGCTTGTAGTGACACAAACTGAAAATGCCGAAATTGCTTTTCACGTGGAATCAAAACAGACCAGAAAATATTGCAATATTTGGCAAAAATAAAATTGTGGATCCACATTTTACCAAAAAAAGGAGAAAAAAAAACAACGCATAGGGCGTAGCTACATATAATTTATTGTGGTCCAATCGGGACATTAACAACACACAAAAGAATCTGATTTTTTCATAGGGTAACATTAAACAAGAGCTCGAACAAGGGACCCACACAATCCGGAACTCATTAACACGTGGTGATTACAATGAAGTTTTAAGATGGACTCGTGTGAAACACATCCAAACTATCCATCATCATTAAACAAGCCATACGTGCATGATCAAAACTAATGCACCCAACATTATCAGATTGATAGCGTTGGCCCATGTATAATTGGTAAGTAGAGAATGACTGAACTTTACACATAGGGTAGCCAAATTTAATAGAAACTTTGCACAGATAATTACTGAACTCTTCTTTGCAGCCCTTATAACATTAAAACTACCTTCATATATAGTAACTTCAGAGTAAAAATCGAATCTTGTCGAGTTAATATTCAATTGCTTGCCTGATCCCGGCATGTTATAACAAATGCATGTGCACCATATGCATCGATCAAAAAATCAAGTCACAGACTCACAATTTTTATTTATTTGATAGGTAAAAAAAAATCACCTTGATCCTGCCATTAAACCTACATAGCATGAACCTACCATTAAACCCAGTTTAAGGGTCCATCAAATTACTACAGAGGACATGAATCACCATCTTCATTTCAAATCACACCGTCCAACAAATATATGAGGAGTAAAACATTCAGAGAGCTTTCAACATTGCATCAGAAAATCTTGTCCACAACTCCAGGCAAAACCTACATTTTCCTTTCGATTTGAGCACACGTCTTATTTATATACCTCGCCCTGTGCTTTTCCAGAACACTGATTACTAATTCAAGACACTATAGCTAGAGCCTCCTCACCATTGCATAAATGAGCATCACAAAGCCAAACTGCAAATTATAACCCTGCAATATGTATCTGCAATATGTATCTGGGCCCCCACAAAATTCAATCACGTGACAACAACATCAGGTTATCATTCTTGAATCATGTGGTCCTCACGTGACTACAAAAAATGTGCAGACAGGGGCTACAAGGGCTCAAAGCCATTTTTGCCAAGAGGGGACATAACCCCTATATTTTTTTAACCATGGTTATTATGAAAAATAATTGGAAAATAAATTCTTGACCAGTAATACAAGGAAAATAGTCCATTGCAAATGGAGATGGAAGAGTCATTGTTGACAATTTTCGTTGCATAGTGCTAATAATGGACTAGATCAAAATGGCTCAATTAAATTCTAGTGCTTCTTCTATTAGTGAAGTTTTTAGAAAAAAAAATATATCAAACGACGACGCATTGCACCTTGGGTCGCTAAGGAAACAACCTGCTTGTATAATTACAAGGGTAAGGTCTGCGTACAACTGACCCCAGACCCCACCCAGTTGGGAATATACTAGGTATGTTGTTGTTGTTGTTGTTGTTGTTGTTAGTAATACATGCAAAAATTTCTGAATTTTTACAAACAAGTAAAATGAAACAAAATCAATATTAATAGTTCTAAAAATTAAAAAATTACAGTTACCTTCTACGAACCTAAGCCCAGATGAGCTGCAGATTTGGGTTTCTGTTTCACACTTGCCTGAATCTCAATAAAACACAGACCACCTTCATCAGCTTTATCTCTACAGCCCTAAAAAAAAAATAAAAAAAAGTATAAAATGTTTAACCCCATGGGACCATTTCTTAACCTTAACTAAAACGAATATATGTGAGAATGTAAGAGACACATACATATATAGACACGAGGGCGTAATGTGTTCTTCCTGTGAGTGTCCAAACAGACGACTAAAAAAGATGGAATCTTTGAACAGAATAAGGAGAAGAAATAAGGCTCAAACCTGAATGAGAGCCTAAAAAGGCCGATAGATCGCCCAACACAGTATAAAAATCCAATCTTTGCGTGGGTTTTTACAAATAAAAACAATTAAAAATCTGGTCTTTACTAACAAGAACAAAAGATGTCCGTCTTTATGCTCTTATAGTTCTGATGCTAAAGGGACAAATAAAAACAAGAAACAAAAACATCAAAGGGGTTTGTCCCAACAGGAACTTGTTTTAGCTGGAAAATCTGCTGTTTTTGGTGAGATTGGCTTTTTTGGGTGAAGAAAGAAAAACCAGAGTTTCAAAAGCCTCCAAATGAAGAAAAAAATGGAGAACAATGCTGGACAGAGGAGAGACATTGGAGAAATAAAAGAAGAAATATAATAAAATAATAATAAAAAATAAAAATAAAAGGGTGGAGAAAAATCACAGCCGTTGCCCGTTGGGCACAATATTTATTCCTTTTATTTGTTTAGACAAATATGGGAGTTGCTGCGGTCTCATTACGAAACCATTCCGTCGTAATTTGTAATCATTTTAGATTAATTATATTTGAGGATTATATGATAATTTAACGATAACAAATTCGACGGAATAGTTTTTCAACGGGCTGCGGTCTCATTACAGAACTCTTCCGTCGTAATTTGTAATCGTTTTAGATCAACTATATTTGAGGATTATATGATAATCTAACGATAACAAATTCGACGGAATAGTTTCCTAACGGGACCGTAACATTTCCGGACAATTATATCCTGTTGCCTCGAAAAGTGTATAAGCATTTAGGGAAAGAAATTAGGTCTCGTTTGGGAGGGCATAAAAGTAATTTTGCCTCTGGCTGTCTGAAATACGCGGTTTGAAAATCGGAATGGGAAAATGGTTTGTTTTGGACGAGTGAATAATAAATTAATTGCCCATTTATCACTTTATTTTTTTCTTTAAAAACAATTAATGATGCAATATTGAATTTGTTTAATTGTACTTTATGAAGGTGAAAATTTTGTGATGAAAAACGTTTTTATACAATGTTGCAAATCTTAATTTTCTTCTTGTAAAGGAAAAGTTGTCATTTCTATCTCACAATATTATTGAAATTGGTACAAAATAATAAATTGGCATTAATCTTAATTTTCTTGTAAATCCAAAGTTTTCTTATTGATCTTACAAAAATACCAAAATTGGTACAAATCTTATAGTGTATGATATTGATATACTTAACTTCTTATATCGGCTGATGGATATATTAACTCGTGTCCATCGTGGACAGAAAATCAACTGATAATAATTATATATACACTCATGCATGTATAATATTCAATTAAGCTAAAAATATAAATAAAGCTTATTAAGCCCTTTGGACACATCACAAATCCGGAAATTCAGATTGCTAGTGTTCATATTTGATATTCAACAAGTATTACATACTATTACATAGGTGTGGAAGGTTAACAAGAATCTCTCTCTCTTTTTTTTTTTTTCTCCAAACGATAGGAGTTTATAAAAAAAATACATAATTACATCTAAATACCAACCAGAAATAGCCAAGCATCCATCTAGTTGAATCCAATGAAAGGTCGGCCCAAACGGCAGCCTAAACACCACAATACAACACACTCCACGAGAATAAAACCGGTCCCAACAGGTATAATGAACATCGGTCCCATTAGGGATAATGAACACAAGTAACTTTTTTCCCTCTCATTATTCACATTTTATATAAAAAGTCCCACTTGTAAAAAGCAAGAATTGTACTACTGCAAATAAGTGATGTATCATATATACCTCTAATAATTGTGGGGGGGAAAAGGTGATGGGATGAATCGAATTTTTAGCTCAAAGACAAGATTCAGCATCTCAAGTCAGCAGCTTTTTAATGGGCTTAGTTCTTTGCGAGGCTTAAAGAATCCAAGAAATATCTATCTACCATCAAACAAGTTCGACCCTACAGGTGAAAATACTGCCTTCACTTGCCTTTTCTTACCTTTTGTAACGGTTGGATTATACATATGTATATGCACAAATTCTATGGACCGGATAGTTTTCTTATGGAGTCATCAATCACTTAATACATTGACAAATGTCCAAAGTGTGTTCATCGGTAAAAGACCCGGTGAAGGAGTCGGATCAAAGTTATCCTAGCATAATCAACAAATAACGAGGAACCGAATAAGATAATTTTTCAAAGTTCAAACAAAGAAAAAGGGCAGTTTTCTACCAAGTTTATATCATTCATGTTAAAAGATTTAAGAAAATGATGTAAAAAACCCACATTTATCAAGCCTTAACTAGCTCGAGCTAACGAACAACTGAACAGCTCGTTTCGCTGCAAAGCTCTAATCTCACACCATTATGCCCAACCAAAATTGATTAAGGCATCATTAAGAGGAAAAAAAAAAGAACATCAGAATTGGGGGGAAAAAAAGACCTGGAAAATTAAGTAGTGTTTTAAACTTTCAACTCTAATTTTGAAGTCCCAGAAAAAATCTAAAACTGTATGATTAAACAAAAGCCCACAAGAGAACAAAAACTAACGAAGGGACTAAAGAAGCTACAATCTTTTTCCACTTTCGGAATTTTCCACATCTATCGATCACAAGATTCCTTCTTTACATTCCAGAGACTTGTCAAAAATGTTTAGTTTTCTTTCTCGGGCACAATGTCTCTTAAAAACCGAAGAATCCAAGCTCGCTAGCCTTTTCCTTCTCAAACGTCTCGAAATACTGATAAATAATGGTCACAGCCAAAAGAATACCTGTGCCCGAACCAATTGCACCCATAAGATCGGCCAAAACAGTAAGTGCGCCAATGCACATGCCGCCAAAAGCAGCTGCCGTGGGAATGTATCGGTTGAGCTCCTTCTGTAAGTTCGATTCTCGGTGTCCGGGCATTACCATTTGTTGTTCCTTGACGAAAAAAAGAAAAAGAAAAAAAGAACATTTAAGTAGAGGGCAAGTGTGCTTGGATACAAATACATCCGCTCAAAACGAATTTTTTTGGTGCACCATGGATAATTTTTGAAAAATGTGGTATGGTTAGTTGTTTCCAATCTATATTAAAATTTATATTTAAAATGAAATACTTACAGTTGATGTAAAAATAAGAGAGATGATGTGAAGTGATGTTTAATTAAAATTATGTGAGTAAATGAATAGTGAATTAAAGTTGATGTGATATATAAGAATGATTGATTGGTAATATTTAATTATATTAATAATATTGAGTATAAACAAACACACCCTAAGGCTCATACATAGAGCCAATATTCGAAATTAGGAACATGGAAATAAAATTGGATTAGATACGAGTGGTGTGTACTAGATTCAAAAGGTCAGAGTAAAGATTACTCACAAAAAATTTAAAATATGCGATCACTTTTTTTTTTTTTTTTTTTTTTGCCTTCATACTAACATTTTCTTGTTTCCATACACCACATATTTCGTCGGGCATTTTTTCACATCGGATCAACTCTTTGCTTTTTTGACTTCTATGTCAACCGCAAGTTCAATATATTTATTGGAGTTTATTATGCAAACTAACTCAAACGGGCACCAGTTCAAGAGAATAATAAACCAAGAAAAACGCGTAAGAACATACCTTAAGTTGCTTGGCGACATCTTTGGCTGAAGAACCCGAGACTTCAATCCATGTCTTTGAGAAAAGAGCACATGCCGAAAGCATAAACACGATATAGAATAGTCCATGGAAAGGGTTGGCCAATATATCAGCCAAACTGCAAAAACAACATCAACCACTTGCAAGAGTGAGCCACATAAACAAGAAAAAGAGAAAATAAAAAAAAATAAAAAAATTAAACAAACAGGCAATATAATCAAGGAAAAAAAAAAACGTACACCCAAGTTATGCTCATCACAATAAATGAGCGATATAATGTTGCAAATAATCTCAATTACCTGGATGGTGCGGTTATATAATAAGCAAGACCCCCGACAGGGACTGATCCGCCAGAGTATTCTGATTCCTTCCACTTTCCCAAGAGATTCACAAGAAAATTACCACTGTACCTCCTGTAAAGCAGCTGTAGAAAAATAAAAATACAAACAAACCATTAATTTTAGTGAATACTCGAGCGAAACAGGATCTCCCAAATTCATTCATATAACCAGAATAATAGTTCAAGCTTACCTGTGAAATAAAGTACAGATTAGAAACAAGAGCAGACTGCAAAATAATCGGCATGTTGGAAGTGTAGAACAGCTTTATTGGGTAAGAGCCTTGTTGTCCCCTAGCATTCTTTGATCTCACAGGCAGAACCACACGGAACCCTTGGAAGTAAATGACGATGAGGAAGACCAAAACTGTGGCGAGCAAGTTCGTAACATTCGGTAGATTTTGCCGATAGAATGCCTCCCGTAAAGCTCGAACCTTGTCAGTCCGAGTGATCAACAAATGGAACAATGCAATAACGGCACCTTCAAATTCAGCTCCGCGGCCACTGTTTATGGTGGTGGGGCTAAAGGCTTTCCAGATAATGGTTTCACTGTTGAAGATAAAATGGAAACAGACTTAAAATCCTCATTCTTGGTGAAATAATAAAGCTTCGCTTGTTTATCAAATTACTAGAAGAAAATCTATCTCAATTCAAAATCTAACTCAAGTTTAACTCAACCACATTAACCTCAATATAACCAATATAATTAAACAATATCATTCAATCATTCTTACACATCACATCAATTTAATTTACTATTCATCCACTCACATAATTTTAACTACCTATCATTTCCAATCATTTATCTCCTAATTTTACATCAAATCAATTTTAATCATTTTAGTTTTAATTATTATTTTAATACAAACTTAAAATCCCATTAATAACTAATCATACTAACTTTTTTTCAAATAAACTGTAGTTAACACAAAAAAACAACACAAAACCATTTTTTTTCCTAGTTTTTTTATAAACAAGCACTGCCAAATGTCTGTATAATTATCGCCACTTACCAAATATTGGTGGCAATAAAGAGTGAAATACCAGAGCCAAGACCGTATCCCTTCTGGAGAAGCTCATCGAGGCAAATCACGATAATGCCAGCAAAGCAAAGCTGCAGGATGATAAGGATTGCATTTCCAACACCAAGTTGGCCGACACTCCCATACATCCCTGAAAGAACATATGCAACAGCCTCACCAACTGCAATCAAGATACCCAACAACTTCTGTGCACCATTCCTGGTCCAGAGAGAAAACGGAAACTTTCATAAGAACAAAATAAGTAAAAGTAACTTAAATTACACGATTTTTTTTTTTTTCAGAGACTCAAACATCGGCAGGAATGCATTAGGGCTGTTCTCTCTTTGCAGAATTTGAAATCAAAAGAGACGAGTACAAACAGAAGTACCGACAAATAGTTACTCGTCTAAACTTTACAGGTACAAAGTCAACTGTAGTTTTTCACACGAAAACTCAGCAGAAATCACCAGCCAGGCATGGACCCGCTATCCAAAATCCACCAAATTCACAAAATTAATCAAATATATGACGAGCATAATAGGGCTGATCCACTTACAGGAGTGCACGATCCTCTCGCACATTGTTATCAACCTCAATGATCTTTGAACCAGCCAAGAGTTGCATAACCAATCCAGATGTAACGATTGGGGTGATCCCGAGCTCCATCACGGTCCCCCTGTTCGAGGCCAGAATAACACGCATCCAGTAGAATGGATCTGCACCGGTCGTGGAGTGTATGCCATACAAAGGCAACTGACTACAGACAAGGAAAATGAAGAGTGATATCACAGTGTATATGACCTTCTCTCTGAAAGGAACTTTCCTGTCCGCACTCTGAACCTCGGGCAGGAACGAAAGAAAGGGCCGGACAAGATGAAGCACTCTAAACCCACCTCCCATTGTCCTTCAATCTAACTATTTCAAACTGCACGTTAGAGTAAGTAAATATGAGTTCTCAGGATGATAAACAACTCAACAGTAGTTTCCAAATGACTTTAGATATGCAAAGAATGCAGTAAATCCAATTTGCTATTAAATTTCAAAAACTCATTCAGTCGAATAATAACGAAAAAAACCGCAATAGGTTCTTGATGTTTCCTGTTATGCTCAATAATCAATGATACAAATTCCAAGAGATCTTACTCATATCATCTGAAATAAGACCAAACCCTTATATCAAAACATGAATCTCAGTAATTATTAACAAGACCGGCCACAGATCACAGTGCTAACATATGATAACAAAAGGGAGCTCAATTAAATCAGTTCCCTGTTACTACAACAAACGAATACACGATCAAACCAAAGCCAATACGATGAAAACAGATCTAAACTCCGAGCGAGATATATGCCAAGAATCCAACTTTATCTACTTACGAACAAGAAAAAAAAACAGATATTCTTCGGGAATTCAACAAATATATTAATTAACCCAATGTAACAAAAAAATTGAAACCACAGCTGCTCACATCAACGAAAAGCAAGAACACATATACATCGGTTAACAGATCTGAAACACTCGAAACACGTTGAGAAAATTAAACAAAAATGGTAGATCTGAAATACTCAGAATAAGCGAAGAAGTTCATACGAACTAGTGAGAAATCGAGCAGAGCTTTTTCACAGATCTAAAATCGATGAATTCTTGAATTTATTGAGTTGTGACTCGAGGAGAGATGCTGATGTTAGAATTTGTGACACCGCACGGAGCCAATTAATGGGGGCCACGTGTACTCAGGGTCTTAGTTGTCCTAATTTGACCCGGTAAAAGTCATTAAATCGAATGTTTTCATTTGGTTTTTGTAAAGTTTTTAGAGACTCGTAACATGAATAAATGATTATCTAATCTACTCACTTAAATCATGTTTATTTCACATATAAATTTTATATTTCAATACCTATCATTGTAAATATTTTCCACAAAATAGATATATGCAATTTTATATTCAAGATTGAATTGATTTTAATTAAGGTAAGATGGGACTGTTAAAAGATCTTTTGGGTTTTGGCTCTTGATATTGTCCAGAATTTAGAAATATTCTCTTCTATTTTTTGGGAAAAAAATTAAGTGCAATAAAGTCTAAATATATATTTTTTTGTAAGAAAGAAAAATGGATGAGTTTGCATGAACAAGTATTTGTTTCCCCTTCTACATAAAACTCATCCTACATTTCTTTATGCAAATTCTTATATGAGTTTGATCTAATCCTTAGTTGGGTCGACTTGTCATACTTTTTTTAATAAAAATACATAATTGTATTATGAAATATCATACTTTGTTTATCTATTTTTTCTCTTCTGAGTATGACATTTAAATTTAAAAGTATGATTGTCTAACTGTTAGGTACGTTGTAACTATTTAAATTGCAGAAACAAGCCATTAAAACGGACTTTTTTCTCTCAAAAAAGCAAAGGAAAAGAAATAAATCAAAGATCTGCTAGGCTAAGCGGCATGGATGCAACATATCCTCAAAGTCGAAAGCCGATGATGAGGATTATACAAACTTTTCATACATGTTTTCCAAACTTGAGATTTTATCGTTCCTTTTTTTTTTTTATTTTAGGTGAAACCGATACTTATTCGACTTATATTTCCTTCATTTTCATGGTTCTTAATGCAACTAACAATTTCCACGGGCAATTTACGAAGACGATCAGAAAGCCGAAGGCATGGAAACATCCACAGCGGATTACAAAAAGTCAGCTTATACAGCAGAGGGACACTGCTACACATTATGGTGGTGCAAAAGGTTAAAGAAACAAAAGAAACGAAAAAAGAAAGAAAGATGTTAATATCACCAAGGAAAACAAGATTAAAAAAAGAATGTAGCCCTTTAAATAAACAAATTCATGATTTGCTTTATTTATTTAATTAAAGTAATGGGATGCTCTAAGAGCAGTTCGACTTGGAATACGAATCCTGAGAAAATATGTAGCCTTCGACAAGATAAACTCATAAAAGTAGAAACTTGATAACAATTACGGATCAAATCCTCTACAAGCACACAAGTTCAACTATCTATGCAAAGAAACTTTAGATATGAAAATCACAACAAAACCACGTGTCGATGCACGATTGACTATTGAGAGGTTTCTATTAAAAACAAACCAGATATGGCTTAGATGTGGGTCAATAATAGCCCTCACGCTTTCTTGAAGAATGACATGATATTCCCCTGCTTGGGATCTTTTTTTGCACCCTTCTTGTTTCCAGCTTTCCCTGTTTGATTTGATGCTGTGTTGGTTACTGCAGGCGATTTTTTCACCACCGGCGGCCTGAAATAAGTCGGTGGCATATGAAAAGTTAATAGATATAAAGACGAAGGGAAAAAGAAAAAATCTCAAGTTTCAAATTTTAGATTTACTTTATTTTAGATTTTACTATACAGTTAATTTATTTTTTTCGGGGGTGGGGAGCAGGTGGGGTGTTCACCAAAAGAGTTCACTAATTGAGTTCAGGTATAATATCATCAAACTAATGAGATAGACATGCATATAAATCTTAGCAATGTAAGCTCAGTTTAGTCATTATCTTAGTAGCGAATGTGAAAAAAATAAAAAATCATCCACATGGAATCATGGATGGTTATTCCCCTCGGAAGCATAACATAAAACACGTGTGCTTAGTTGTAACTAGTATTCGACCCTCTGCATTTGCACAGATGTAAATAAAATCAAAATATTATAAGTTTTTTGTATGCGTCTAATATTAAAATTATAAGGTCAATAATAATATTATAATAACAAAATTATAAATTATATAATAGAATTATATTTTAAAATTTGATAATTAGTTAGAATAAAGAGTACATACGATGTGATTGCATACAAATCACTATATTGATTGCCTAAAATGTAATAAAAAGATAATTTTTGTAATTTTGGGTGATCATGACCCATTAATTAGCTGAAAAATATTTAAATTTATTATAAAAATTGCTTATGTGATTTCGAGAAATTTTATCATGAAGTAAAAAAAAATAATTTATTTAAAAAACAATCCCTTAATCATATAAAAAATATAATGTTGATTTTAGTGTAAAATTTAATTTTATGTAACTTTTATTTTCATTTAATGTAAAACATAATTACTAATTTTAATTTTAATTATTATATGATTCAATGAAAACTATTATATGATTCAATAAAAAATATATTTATACTCAATTAAGAAAAAAATACAATGGTTTTTGTCCTAATTAACCCAAAAGAGTGTAATGAAATATTTTATTATTAAGGAGATAGGGTGTATTAATTGCTATATAAGTAAAATTTATTAGGTTTTATTTAGAATTTTTACGTGAAAAAAATAAAAAAAACAAGTGCTAGACAAAAAACAAAACAGAAAAGGGGAGGTGGACAAGAATAAAAAACACGTATTTACAAAATACGTTTTCAATGTCTTTATTTGTAAAACGTATTTTGTAAATACGTTTTCTTTTGTAAAAAAATTTTGTAAAACGTATTCCCTAAATACGTTTTACAATTAAATTGTAAAGAAAACGTATTTAGTGAATACGTGTTTTTGATTTTGGTCCACTCCCCTTTTTTTTTGTTTTTTGTCCACTTATTATTTTTTTATTAATAAATATATAAATTACTCGTTTTATTTAATGATTTGCCACATAGGTAAAATTTATTGCTGTTGGGAAATAAGGTCGGATAAGATGGAATAATAATAACACACCAATGTGAAATCCATAAAAGACACGAAAGTTTGTTAACCCAGTTCGGATTAAATCCTACGTCTGGGGGCGAACCAAGCCAGGAGAATGAACTAGAAAAAGAGGATAAACCGAATGTTACAACTCACACAAGCCCGTATGAATACACTCTCTCTACTCTTTTTCTCTCTATCTCTCTTGTTATGTTTTCTTTTGTTGTGATTTTATATCATGATTCTAGCTCTATTTATAGAGAAAGAATGCATCAAAATTTCTACAAATGTGTGCTAACATTTTTCTCCCACGGTGTGCTACTCCATTTTTTTATTTATCTTTGGTAGTTAGAAGAAAATGGGTTGTTGCCCATTGACTTAACAATTGCTAAGCTAGCAATTATATATATATATATATATATCATTTTAATTGATAAGATGTAACTGAAATGGGTCAGGCGCATGAGTGTAACCTGTTAGTAGCATTGTTTGTCGTGTTCGTCTCAGCAACTTTAGCCGAATTATAATCAGATTTTCTATCTGGCTCCTCACCTTCCCAGACAACCTCAGTAACTGGAACCACAAGCATAAATGCATCAGGAAAATATATTTCAACAGCAAATAAATAACGAAACAAAATGAAATGAAATTTACTCATCATAAGAAAATTACCCTGATAAGATACCATATTAAGACATTTACCAGAACTGACCTTCTGAGGTTTAGCCCAAAGATAAAAATTACTACCAGCAATCTTTTGAAATTATAAATACTTTGCAAAAAGTGAGGGCCTTTTTGTAATAATAACGAGAACAGGTCCTTTTCATAATTATGTTAAACTTCATGGGCAGTTGTTGCAATACTACATTCCACTACCTACCTTCTCTTCCGCGATCATCGATACGTGTCTTCAACACTTTTTTCCTCTTAGGCGCAACATTAGCGACTGTATCTTTCACGCAAGATTCTGCTTTATGAACATTGCTAAGGTTCTTATCTGAAGTGGGAGCCTCAATCTTCTTTTCTTTTGAATGTTGATTAGTTTTCTCGGCATCTGCTTTCGCCTCTTTAATCGATGGCTTATGTTCCTTGTCATTGAAACTTAATTTGCATTCCAGGCCAAAAGCATTCAACCCGTCTTTTAAACATGGGGAGGACTTTTTTGGAGGATCTGGTGACGCTAGATTCACTACCTCTTGGTATTCATCTTCCTCGTCTGAGTAGTCGAACACGACTCTCCTCTTTCTACTGCTTTCACCATTAGACGTTCTCTTCATGTTGAAATCGTGGCCATCTTCATCACTGCTTGCGTCTTCTACTGATTCGCGAGCACAAATTTGAGCTTCTGCACTGGCTGTTCCTATACCAAACAATGAGTTTTAGACAAATTGGAAAAGGGAAAATAAGGAAAATCCAATTGCCATTAGATATACATTTTTTCTATCTTCTCAAAATACTACTGAAAAATCAGAAATTCAATCCGTTTTTCTTTCCTATCTAAATGGAAGAACAAGAAAATCATAAAAACTAACCTGACGTTTCTATTACAGAACCTCAAATTATCTTTCAGAGATATGAATACCCATTTAAAGCACAACCACCCCCTTGAGATTTGTATTTAACAAAAAAATAATGCCAACAGAAGTGCATTCGGGGGTTTGTAATTTGAAGATAACTAGATTTGTATGTGTGCATGTCAGAACTTAGGAGCAGCTTTGTAATTTATACTAAAAAGAAGAGGAGTTAACCAGCAGAGTTATGTTTGGAGTTGTTAGCCTGCAGCAAAGCAGCCTCAGGTTTAGGCTTAGCAGACGCACGGCCCCACATGCCAGCCAATGCCCCTCCAATTCCTGAAGGGTTTTTATCAGTTTGACCCTTCTTGTTGTTACGAGGCACCTGGGGGATTTTTTCTTTATCTGCGCGAAGCTGGGCCCCCTGTTCTCTATCTAGCTTCACGAGACTCTCGTTTTTAACAGTTTTTGCACTCTCAGGAGGCTGCAACGGGTTTCCGGAGCTTCTGGACCCAACAGAGCCTTTGGAGGGTTTCACCTGCAGGGTCTCCGTGCCCGAATTTGCTCCTCCCACGGCTCGCTTAACAAATGAATTTGAAACTCCACAGAACCTTTTAGTAAATAATGTGGTGAAGTTAGAGAAGAAAGTGGTCATCACGAGTTTCATGTGAAAGAATGGTGCCTAAACCGTTATAAAGAGAGAAAAGATATAAATACACTAGATAAATCCCGAGATAAACTTTTCACTACAGAAAGGTTAATTGCTAAAAATATGGATTTTTGAGTAGGATTAAACAAAGAGTTGAACCTGTTATCGCGCAAGCAATTATCAACTGCAAGTGGTTGCTTAAAGAGATCTTCGGCTTGGACAAATTCGTGATTCCAAAGGGTTGCTGGATCCTTAGGGAGGCACGCTTGTACACTATAAACCTGAATGGAGCAACTTCCTTCAAATTCTTGCTTTGCATCTGCACATATTGTAACCAATGGTTTCACATTAGAATTTCGGCCAATGTTATTCCCTTCAGCAGTATATCCTCATACTTGATAAAATAATGATAATAGCCACCAGAGAGAACAACCCATTTATCATCCTCAACACTAGTCACTAGTGTGCATTACAGGTACATAAATACGAACATTGAGACCCGTAAAAGGCTCCAACAGTAACAATAGTCAAAACTTCAAAATAATTTATTCCTGACATAGTTGTCATCAATAGCCATGCAATGAAAGCACAAAATAGTGAACACTGTAGGAAGTTACCTTATTTGTTCTTACATGAAAAAATTAGTTAACAGATAATAAAATGCAAAACTAATGGATCTCCAAATTTCATGATTTCTTTGTGTACCAACCATTTGGATCCAATGATCCACACTGACAACAGAATTTTCTTTTCCGGAACTCTACTAAATATGTCAATACATCAGTCTCTCCGAACTAGCTCACAAAAGTTCACCAGCTTTAAGATCGGCAAACCAACTGAAACATTTACAAGCCAGATCTTAATTTTTTACTCAACCGATTCACTCCCAATGTTTTTAGTAGCCGTAATAATTATCAATTTACTCAAATCTACAACTTCATTCTATAAATTGGTCACCAAAACCACGCACGATCAGTTCAAAACTTCAGCATCACGAATCACCTGAACCTGATAGACAATATGAATACTAGAAATGCAATTCCAAAGATAAATGGAGAAAGATGCTAGAATGAAGCATAAGTAGTAACAAAATCTGAAATAGACAGTGGTAAGGTAAAGCTCACTCATACGTTATATTTGTTCCAACTTTATCCCTTTGGAATTACAGAATCACCTGAAAGTTTATCCTTCGACACGAGCCTTATATGGTAAGCCGAAGGATTGTTTTTCAACCAACCAGCCAAAGAGTAAATCACTTCCAATCCATTTCCATACTTGTCCACAAACGCCTGCAGCAGCCTACAGCCAGCAATCGATCAAAACATGTCAGCCCACCAAACAATTAAACAGCAATATATGGAAAAATACCAAAGTGAGTGAGCTTCGAGATTCAGGCAAACTACTCCTTTGCAGTATTGGAAGAAACCAAAAAGTTCCGACTAAGCCACTTGTAGGAAACCTAAACAGAAAATTACAACTCATTAATCGCTTAAAAATCCTATAAAAACTCCACAAAATCACGAGCTTTAGCAATTTAATCTAATTTCAAATGCAAATTCCACAGAATTAGCTGAGCAACCGTGAAAGTTTATAAACACTAGTGAAGCCCAGCAGCGACACATCTGGATTTCGAAATTTTATCAACGAAGTTGAAAGAGATCGCATAACATAAAAGCGTACCACTTGAAGTTTATCGGAGACGATGGACTGAACCTCGTCGAGGATACCCAGGGTTTCGATTTCCGCCATCTTCTTGTCCGATAGCTAGCGATTCGTAACCCTGCGGGAAAAAAAGATCGAAGCTTTTTCTTCTTTCCGATTTTCCCTCTCTTGATTTCCCGCCACTTTCAGCTAATTTTAGGGCATTTCGTGATAGCTTTCGCACGACAAGTACTTTATTGTCTGGTGGTTACAATGAAAAACGTGTTTAGCTAACGAGTCGAGTTGATGGGCAACTCATTTGACGAGTTAAATCTTAACGAGCTTAACTCAGAGACGTTGTTAACGAGTGTCTCAATGTAAACATCATTACTAAAGATAATCATCTCTATCCGGTAGCATCCCGAAAGTTCTTTTTCCTCTTCGGAAGACTCTAAAATGTCGGAGGACCTCAAATATGCCCTCATTGACAAATTCTCTACCGGCAAGCCCTCCAACAAGGCTATTCGATCGAATCTCGCTCTCTTGGGTTTCATCGGATGCAAAATTATTTTCCTTCAAGGCAATCATGTCTTGATCAAAGTCGATGATCCAAACACGTCCACCAAACTTTGGTTGAAACGCGAAATCTTTATTCTAAATTTTCCTATGCGGATTTTCAAGTGGTCCGCCAATTTCGATTTCACAAAAGAACCACCGATTGTCCGGTTTGAATTAAAATCTCAGCTCTCCCCCTTCGCTGCTTTGATTTAAAGTCTCTTCGAACAATCGCCAACATCTTTAGCACCATTTTAAAAGTCGATGATGCCACACTAAAAAAAAACCAGCTCCAATATGCTCGTTTTTGCGTAGCTCTCAATCTTGAAGCCCCCCATCCCACTTGTATCATCGTTTCTTGCGGAAACAAACACGTCGAACTCATTGTCGAGGTTGAACGCTTACCAAAATATTGTTCCTATTGCTCTCGTGTAGGACACGATGACTCAACTTGCTACATAAACAATCTAACCATTCGTCCCGCCAAAATTAACAAATGAGAAAAACCCTACATTGAACCTTGTCCTCAAATTTCTCTCCCATTCTTTTGCTCTTCCGACCCCCGCTAGACCATCTCTTGCCCCGGACCTGACTCTTTCGAACTTGAGACCTTCTCTTGGCAAGGCTCCACCCAACCCCTCCTTATTACGCTCGGTGCCTTCCTTGGCCCAAATAACTGGCCCCTCATTTTTCCATGAAGCGGGACCAAGCAATGTGCCTGACTCATTGGAGCCAGTTTCACCTAAGCCCAATTAAGTGATGGTTGAGTCTTGCTCTTCTGATTCTGAACCGGACTCCCCATACCACTTACTCCCCTTTTCTGAATTTGAAGATGACTTTAATGTCACCCCAACACATGCGTAAAAAACCAAGCATTGCTCTCTCCTCCCCTCTGCCTCACCCCATTCTCCCCAGATCTACACCAACTCTTTCGAGAAAAAACAGCGGATTAAGCGCAGCACGAGGAATAAGAAAAAGTCATACCATTTTCGAGATTCGCTGATGAAAGGGTAACTTTAGTTGTGTCTTTTTCTTGTCCTCGTTTTATTTTTCTTTCTTTCAGTTTTTATTGGCCTTATGTGGACCTGCGACTTTTGTGGCCCATTTAGAGTCGCGACTATATACAAGTTGGGATCCAGCCTCAACTCCCCTCCCCCTGCTTGGTGTTTTGTAATTAAAAAAAAAAAAAGATAAATTCAGCTTGACACTTAACGAACGAATCGAGTGGTGTCAAGCAAAACTCACAAACGTGACTTATTTCATCTAGTAGATAGAGCTCGAACCTTTGTCGAGTGCTCGTTTAGTTAACAACTAATGTGTTTGAAAATTATTGTCAATTTTTGTTGACAAGCGACATATATTAAATATTGTTAATCAGGTTAAGTCGAGCTCAAATCTTGAGCACCTCGGTTGGCCAAAAACAGAGGTATTAAACAAATCGAGCCGCTTGGGAGCTCGACTCGTTAAGGCTTGACTTCGCCTCGACTCATTCAATAAACAAGCCAAGCTCGAGCTAGTTTACAACTAGTTTGATTAACGAGTTGGGCTCGGCTCGATTTCGAGCAACTTTCTTTCGGCTCCCGGAATCCTAAGGGTATGTGTAATTTAACGAAGGGGAAGAGAGGGGAAGGATTTTGTAGAAAGGAGGTGAGATGAGGAGAAGTGATGTATACTTTTTTTGGAGGAATTTTATTAGAGGATGGTGGAAGAAATATGATAAATCTTATTTGGTTTAAAAAGTAAGGGGATGAAAAGTAAAACTATATAGACAAATATACTCTTGCAGGAAAAAAAAAAAAGGTTAGGTTTTATCTATACACGTTCATTTTGTAAATATAATGGATTGAGAAGAACATACGAATACAACCAATTGTAAATTTTTCCTTTCTCTCCATTTTCCACAATTAGAAGGGAGCTAATTTTCCGTTGGGGAGGGAATTGAGTGAAAAATTTCACCTCCGTTTCCTACAAAAAGTTGAGGGTATGTTTGGTAGACAAATAAGTTAACTTTTAGCTCATTTGGTTAACTTATAAGCTCTATGTATTTAAATAAATTTCGTTTGGTAGAACGAGTTTTTTTTTTTAAAAAAACTCAAGCTTATATCATAAAGTTATTTATGTAGTTTTTCAAATAAGTTAGTTGAAATTTTTATTTATTTAGCTTATCAACTAATTTTACCGAACTCTTTTATCATATAAAACTTTTCAACTGTAAGTTATAAAAATTAAAAAATTACTGGTAAACTATAAACTAGCTAATCAACTATCAGTTAACGCATCCAATTTTACCAAAACAACATAAATTTTAAAAAAATCCATCACTTTGCTTCCCATCCCCTCCTTTCTCTCGAACCAAATGCTATCTAATCATCCTCCTATCCCCTTCAAATCCTCAGCGAGACCTAAAACTACTGCAAATCTACATGTATGAACTTATATATAGTGTTTGGTTGGGGGAAAAATGAGGAAAGAAGAGGTGAGGGGAGGGATTTTTTTTCACATTTCTCTTGTTTGGTTGGGATATTTAGATTGGAGAGGAAGAAAAATTTTAAGTTAAAATTCTCTCCCCTCCCCATTTTGCTCCCCTCCAAATTTTGGAGGGGAGGAAAAATTTTAAGATGTTGAATTATTTTAACCTTATTACATATAATATTTTAATGTTTATTCCTAACATTATTAAAGATATATTTGTCATTCTAACATTATTTTTCATGGATAATGTTCCCCTATTCACGGTGGGCACATGTTATTATGTCACCGCTTATGTGTCATGCACACATTGGTGAAGTTAATATGTTAAAAAAATATATGTGCATGCCACATAAGCAATGAACATATTAATATGTGTCCACCGTAGGTAGATGAACATTACTATATTTTTCATTTCCTTTCATTTTTTACCAAACAAAATTTACTATTTTTCTTCAATTTTCCTCCTACAAAATCCTTTCAAGGTAAAATTATTTCTCCTTCCCTTCCCTTCTCTCCCATCCATTAAAATCTTTCCCTCCCATTCCTTCCATTGAACCAGACATACCACCCATAGAGACCTGTAATTTCCGCCATTATAGGTTAATAAGCTCCAGATATACTCAGATAACCATTGCAATGGCTTTGCTAGAACCCTTCTGCCGCCGCCATTTTCGCCAGCTCCTCAGACTCCAAAACCCTCACTTAACATCTTCAAGCTCGTCTCAACCCTCCGATTCTTCGTTTCTTTCTTCAAATTCCCGGAGACCCTTTTCTCTCTCCTCCCGGCCCTCTGTAACATCGGAGAAGAAAACCCAGAAGCCGGCAAAGGCACTGAGTAAATTCTTCAAAACCGCTATTTCCGGTCTGGAAAGAACCGACAATGGCTGCGCCGAGGCTGTCAACGGTGAGCCAGCGCAGCTGAAAGAAACTGGGGCTAAGGTTAATCTGGCTGCGCTTTTTGCTGTTGGAAAGAAAGCAAAAGTTAAATCAAACGTACCGATCAATTTTGGCCTCGAGGGTCCAAAGGTTTACGAAGAACTTCCGCCCGAGATGCAAATGTTTGCTCGATGTTTGCACGAGAAGGGGTATTTAGACTATGCAAATTTTCCGCGCAAGAATGGATTCGACGCAACGTGTTTTGAGACGAGCTACCGCCGTGAATTTTTGAAGTCTGCAGCGGAGAAGTTTGCGAAAGATCACCAGGAGATTGCCAAGTAAGACAATAAGAGAACTAATAAGAAATTCATTTCTTGCCTACAGTTGTAGTGCATTGTGCATAGAGCTGTAAACGAGCAGAACTCGGGCTCAAGCCTTTATCAAGCTCACCTCAGCTCGTTTATCTTAATGAGCCGAGCCATTAATATATCTAATAGTCTAATTGCGTCAGGAAATTATAGTTGTGATTGATCCTGCTAAAGTTGGTGGAGATGTTTTCTTTGTGTGGATATATGGGAAATTTCTTTGTGTTGTTGTATGTAGTGTGTGGCCTAGAAAAGGATTTTTGTTTCTTTTCATATTTTTCTTTTCTTGTGCGGCTTGATGAACTTAGATGCTTGACTTGCTGCGCTATTTACGTATTCATGAGCTACTCTGATTTGCCTTTTATATTAATGAAAATTGTGAAAAGATGAATGACGTTTAGAAATGTAAGTAGCCCCTGTCGATCGACATGATTGTTTGAGTAAATAGTTACTATGTGCTACTTGTTCATTGATAAACTTTTGAGAGACAAAAGATTGCTTGCCACTAGAGCTTTCAGTTTTTTCATGCTTTGTATATGGAAAGATGTACTTAGCCCCTTATTAAAAGAAGCTGTTATTTTGGTCCTGGTTTAACAGCTCATTAGTAAACCAGTATGCAATTTTTTCATGAAAAGTTCTATCTGTATCGTCAGAATAGTGGAGATTGACATGTTTCGATTGCTCTGAAGTTGTTTTAGCACCATATTTGATCTGATATATCCTGAATCTCTATGTTAAAGCACGGCTCTATCCTTGTGGGCATGGATATTTGTTCGTAATTCCCATACCGACTCTTATTTATTTCACATTTTCCTTTACAACTCTTCATGTTTTGTCAATGGTTTTCCCCAGATGGTTGTCTGCTAGCGATCTGAAAAAAATAGCGCTTTTGGGGTGTCCATCTTATGAGCGTAGCTCCGTTTATGCTGCTAAACACATGCGCCAATTCTTTAAAATTGAGGAACAAAAGGCAAGTAAGTTCTTGGAACAATTTTGTTAGGGCTATGTACAAAATATTATCTTAATGCTTGAAAGGAAAAGGAAAACCTTATTTCTTTCAGAATTCAACTGCAAGATGAGCTTCCGTAATCATGTTCTCATTTCAGGTATGCGGAAAGTGTACATTGAGAAACTCGTGTAAGTATGCTAATAAGGGATGGAATAAATCTATTCAGCTGAGTTTGGATAAAGTGATCCAGGTCCTCGTTATGTATGCTATGGGATCAGTTCATGAAGATTTGTTGGTGCCTGAAGATATTAACAACTCTGTGAATCGATTGCTGAAGGAGATAGTAAATCTTAGTCAGCTACGTCAGTAAGCTTCCCCTAAGTATTATAGGTATATATCGGGTAAATTCGTTTTGCTAATTTCGAAAAAAATTCTTGTGCCTTAATTATGCGAATCTCCACTTGCCATTCTAAATAGAAGTGATCTCCTGGTGTTTGCACCTCATTAGAGAATGTTCGTCATTTGGGTTGTTTTGTAATTAGGCCAAACTTTATGGGTAGTTTTAGTGATAATTATTTCCATAGTGAATAGATTAGTTTACCATTCCATTTATGGTGTCATTTGCGTGTTCTGTTAATTATTTAGAGAACATATGTGCTGTTTCTGGTGGGGGAAATTCTACAATTGACTTTTTGTTATTGTGTCACAATAAGCCTTGGATTTTTAATTTTTCCATTTGAGGTTTTTATTTTTAAGTTGTTTTCAATATAAGGCCTACTTTTACATTCTACTTTTCAATTTAAGACTCCAAATCACTTTGTATTTTGGTATAATTATGTAAACAACAATAATTTTTTTTTTTTAAATTTAAAAGTACTTATAATGAAAAATACTAAATATCTTTAATAACTATCTAATAAGATAATTATTTCATATTTTACATTTATGCAAAAGCTTAATGATTTTTTTTTAAAGTAAAAAATAAATTTTAACTTAATTATAATCTAAATATGTGACAAAATTAAAATATAAACTATTTAAAAAATAATTTTATTTTTATAAATAAACTTATAGAAATATTTTTTTGTGAATAAAATTGTTATTTTTCAAAATGTTAAGAATATATAAAATTATTACCCGAAAAATTCTATTGTAGGTAGTTTCATTCACAAATATTTTTTTTATAAGTTTAGTAAAAAAAACTACTTTCCTAAATAGTTTATATTTTAATGTTATCACATATTTAGATTATAATTAAGTTATTTTTTTTAACTTTTAAAATTAATTTTATTAAGCTTTTGCATAAATGTAAATTATGAAATAATTATCTTATTAGATAATTTTACTAAATATATTTAATATTTTTCATTATAAGTACTTAAAAAATAAATTTTTAAAAAAAGTATTGTTGTTTACATAATTATATCAAAATACAAAGGCCTTGTTTGGCGATCAGCGGATAGCGGATAGCGGATTGTATTAGCGGATAGCGGATAGCGGATTATATTAGCTGATTTGACTAGCGGATTGCATTAGCGGTTTTTAACTAAGTGTTTGGTAAATAGCTGAAAGCTTATAGCTGTTTGACATTGCAAATTACCAATACAGACATTTTATTATTTAGGGTGTATTTTTTTAATAATAATATATTAAAATTTAATATTTTTTTAGTTGGTAATTTATAAATATATATATTTTTTTAAAAAATTACTAACAATTGATTAAGAAGTTATGAATTTTATATTTTTCTAGATAAATTAATCATATGGATGACATATTATTATTTGTTAGTGTTAAGTCAATGGGCAACAACCCATTTTCTTCTAACTACCAAAGATAAATAAAAAATGGAGTAGCACACCGTGGGAGAAAAATGTTAGCACACATTTGTAGAAATTTTGATGCATTCTTTCTCTATAAATAGAGCTAGAATCATGATGTAAAAATCACAACAAAAGAAAACATAACAAGAGAGATAGAGAAAAAAAAGAGTAGAGAGAGTGTATTCATACGGGCTTGTGTGAATTGTAACATTCGGTTTATCCTCTTTTTCTAGTTCATTCTCCTGGCTTGGTTCGCCCCCAGACGTAGGATTTAATCCGAACTGGGTTAACAAACTTTCGTGTCTTTTATTGATTTCACATTGGTGTGTTATTATTATTCCATCTTATCCGACCTTATTTCCCAACAGTTAGCATCATAAAAGATTGTAAAATAAATAATACAAATTAAAAAGTTCTAAATTAAAATTGTAGATTGTGAATCCTCTATCCCCAAAAAGCTCCTCTAATGAGCTTTTTCTAAATTAGAGTTTTGGGCCTAAAAAGCTTATCAAATAAGCTATTTACCAAACAAGCTCAATAGCGGATTTGACGGGTCAAACCTCTCAATTAAGTCCAATCCGCTAATTTATCCTCAATCCGCTATCTTCCAAACGGGGCCAAAGTGATTTAGAGTCTTAAATTGAAATGTAGAATTTAAAAGTAGACCTTAAACTGAGAATAACTTAAAATTGAAACCTGCAAATGTAAAAGTTAAAAACTCAGGCTTTATTGTGACACAATAACAAAATGTCAAGCCCTACAATGAAATTCTCCGTTTCTGGTGGAAATGTTAGGGCTGTGTAAAAATTGCAGTATGATACATACTAAAAAATTATCTAGCTTAAGGCCTTTCACAACATTCGTTTTAGTGACACTAAAATAATTTTTCAATCACTTTGTAATAAAAAAAAAATTGGTACAACTGTGGGCACTGCCTCACAGAAGTTTTAACAGATCACACACATTCACATACACGGGTGCATGTTGATACAACAATAATAGGTGTGATTGATCCAAATAATCTAAGATAAAATTTCCTGATTGCTGCTTGGTGTCGAGATGACAATTTGCTGTCAAGATAATGACTTATCATTAGAGGGTTTATGTTGGAAACCTCCTTTGCAGGTACTTTGACAAGAAGTCAAGGAGAAGCTTACCAACAAATCCGTGTGGTTAAATCCGGTTAATTTGATTATCTCCTATCAGAGAGTGTCTAATTGGATCATCCATCAAATAAGCCATATTGCATAACTCAAAAGTTCACTTGTCTTCCTCACTTTTTATCTAAAGATTATTGAAAGTTTGGCAGTTTCATGCATATCTACTCAATACAAGTTAAATATCACATAAGTCACCTCATACTCATTGCATTTTTATCCAACTCCAAAGCTCACATCACCTTATTACAATTGTTTTCACCAAACATATCACACAATGTAAAACAACTTGAAATGGACATAAGGGTGTAGTTGTGAGGTCTATTGGTATGGTCAAGACCATCCTAAGAATCCTTGCATATAAGGAACCACCAAAAGTAAAAAATCCCTTTAATAAAAAAAGTTTGAAAATGTCAAGGTGAAAAAGAGTTCGATTCATAATGTTAGAGGAAAAGAAAAAAGGAAAAGCATTAGATGTCGAGAGAATGGTTGGACAGGATGTCAACCATTGTCATGATGATTTGTTAGTCATTATTTACAATTATTAAAGGTGCGTCGAGTATACTTGACACGACGATTCTTAGTCATATATTGCCATGACGAATACACCTGTTAATCAATGACTCTAAGAATGTCACGACAATGCTTAACATCTTGTCCTAGACCCTCTCTCCACATCCAACGCTTTTGCTTTTTTTTTTTTT